AGTTTGGAGGCAATCGAGATGGCAGCTGCACATGTGGTGGGAATCCGTAGGCCGTTGCCTTTTGGTTCCATGAGGCGCCGGCGCAGCCAGACGAGACCAATAGGGTGCGTAGATGCGCACGACACCCGACGCACGTAAATCGTTAATTTCCACTCGGGTCCCTTAATTCCTGCTGCCAAAGCACGCAATGTTGGCAGGCGCCCAGCATAAGTCTGAACCCTTAAAACACGTGCCCTTCAAGAACCAGAACCCACGTGCGATACAACAAGTGGGAAATCCGAAAATCGAAATTTAACAGAAAGTCGGCCGTAGAAATTGACGACCGGAGGTAGTCAGCAGTCATACGACCCAGTCAACCAAAAGAAGATTCGAGTCTTGGTCCCCGGGCACCGTTAACGGGAATCCTTGCAATCCGACTTTCTGGGACCGCGGAGCTTGGTCTCCAGTCGTCATCGTAATGTTCCGGGATCTAACTCGTGCATCTGAAACGAATCGTATTTTCAGGGGATATTACGTACATATATCCTATGAACAACTGAGGCATTGTAATGTGAGCCCCGTGAACGCACGTATGGCCCTTTGGTGAGGTACCCAAATTAAGCCCCAGTGCGTATCCACACAAAGTACAAGCTGCACCTACAGCACTTGAAAACAAAAGCCTAGCCTGAGCTATTTCCGGAATCACGGGGCATTTATTGCGGACCAACAAAGATAATTGACATAAAACGACCGTATGGGAATTGGAAACTTAAACACTTTACAAAACCTTCACATGCAACATGTCTTTGCAGCCGGTAAGAAAGGTCTCACTGGATTAAAAATGGCATTTAGCTGGACGCCTTCGCGCACGTCAGGATTGTTAATGTAAGATATGGGATGGACGCAGAAGCTAGCTGCCACTGGAATACATTGAGTAGCGAAGATAACTCCTGCTTCTGTACAATGGGTAACACAACGCGCTGGCTAAGAATTGGGAGATTCAGGCTTAAACTTGGGCGGAATTCACTGTGCTACGCCTAAGCCTGCAACCTCAAGCCCTACAAAATCGAAAAAAGTATTAATACTGTGCCGAGGGACCCAGTTACTGGACATTGGCAAATGGAACTTACCAACTCTAGCGCCGACCATAGCCACCTAAAGCAAAGCACTCGGTCGCGTGATATCACACCTTACCTCCGTAGGGTTGATTCCGTTGGTATCCACCACCGGGAGGCCCGCCTCTAATAGGACCACCTCCATAGCTCTGCTGAGCACCATAGCTACCGAAACCATCACCCATTCCGTGACCCCAACCCTGGCCGCCGCCGCCACCCTGTGGATAGGGGCCCCAACCGCCTTGGTAGCCACCCATTGGTGGTCCGCCTAAACATTCTTAGAATAAAATACTACACTTACCCATGGGGCCGCCGGGTGGAGATTGGGGACCGTAACCCCTGCTATAGTTGTCATATCCTCCTCCAGGTGGACCATAGTTACCACCGTTTCTATAGCCATTTGAAAAACCATTGCCGTAGTCCCCTCTGTATTCTGTCTTTCTCTTCATGGTGTTCATTTCTTCTCTCGATAGCGCCTTCTTTACATCTGAACGACTGGTCTTGATAAGGTGTGGCTTGTACAAGATAGCTTTGTCGACGGGATCATAGTCGTCAAACGTGACGAACCCAAAACCTCGCGATACTCCCGTATCCTTGCTTGTAACTACCTCACACTCGGTTATGTTGCCGTATTTCGAAAAGTATTCTCTGAGGTCTTCGGTAGTTACGTCTTTCTTTAGACCACCAACAAACAGCTTCTTAACAGTCATATGGGCCTCAGCACTGCTGGAGTCTTCCCTCGGCATAGCTCTCTTGGCCTCGACAGTTTTACCGTCTATCTCGTGCGGTCTATTAGCTTGAGCTGAGTCAACCATTTCTGGTTCTTTGTATGTGACAAATCCGAACCCTCGGGACCTTCCGCTGTGGGAGTCTTTCATAACGACCACATCTACGATCTCCCCCCAAGCAGAATAATATTCTTTAAGCATTTCTTCATCGGTGTTGGGAGTTAATCCGCCAATAAAAAGCTTTCTGTACTGCTCAGTCCTGCTGTCATTGTTTTCTGAATTCCTCCGGACCATCGCAACGAGGACAAAAGATTACAACTGAAAGGGAAACTAATACCACCGTCGAACGAATTAAAACAAAGAGGGTGAGGTTCAATTCGGCTATTGCTCAAGT